GCAAATACTTATGGTAATTAGTCAATCTAAATTATGAACTACTAAAATTACATGCTATCTATTCTCGGATGAATATAAATTCCCTCTCAAATCCGCAATCAATCATGCTTTTTGTTGTTTTGAGTGTTCAACTTAAGCTAACAATTCAATTTAGTAAGGTTTTTGAAAGCTTATAACTCTAGTTGTAAAATACTTACCAATCTCACATGTATATATGTCATAATTCAACTTTCGCTTTTAGGGGGCGGAGCCACACACATGCGAGATGTGGTTGTGGCTACCCCCAATTCTCATAAACTCCATTGAAGTTTTTATATAAAACTTGAAATCTGTATGTATTTTCGTATCTTTTTCAGCTATTGACCCTCCTAATATGGACTCTAGCTCCGCCACTGCTTACTTTAGTTGTTTTATATTTTTTAATAAAAGAAATAAGAATTTAAAGATTATGTAAATCATTAATCTTGAATCAAAAGCGTGCAACACATTTAGATTTAGGTGGGCAAACTAGTTAAAGACAAAAATGGTAGCTACATATTCAACACAAAACAAAATAGCTATAGGTCCAACCCAAAGAAAAGAAAGGCTCTATGGGAACTCGGAAACCCGCCCAAAGTGTGTGGCATGTGAATTGTGATATCCCACCAATTAATTAATGCCTAATGCATAATTAAATGCATAAACACTTCTTAATTAACAAATTAATAAGTTACACGTAATTCAACGCAAAATGGAGGTCAAATGGTGGAAAGAGTGATATATAATATGCATCTTCTTTTCCAAATATAGAAAAAAAGGATCTAGATGGCGCAATCACTCTCCTCGTGCGTCCTCATTCTTTTCTCTCTCTACCCAAACAGACGGAGCTCACGGCCGGCCTGTACAAGTTACAAGTTACAACAACCATAATATGTATCTCTCATTTGCTTTGCGATTCCCGCGACTGCAATTTGCAATCCCAAGTTGGCGCGTCAAGTGTGCGAGTCTTTCATCATCAGCAATCAGCATGTGCCTCACGTTTCAGATGTTGTCCAAATTTATAGATGGTTCAATTTATTTCTCTTTTCTTCTTGCTCCTCCCAAACAAGAGAACCACCCTACTTTACAGCTGCCTGCCTGCTTGGTCTGTGTTGTTATTTCTTTGTTTGTGTTTTGGATAAACAATAACACCAAACGCACTTGATTACAAAACTCCAATGCAGGACCTCCTTCGTTGCAAGAGCTTATGATGAAAATGACTTGATTTCATGGCCGCCCGCGTAGGTTTAGCAGCACAAATTCGGTCTTTAGAGATGTAGTTTTTGAAATAGCTTTAATGAGATTAAATGAGTTTTGAATAGGTTAGGTCCACGGAATTAAGTAAGTAGGGATTGTGTCTTCCTGGGTGAAAGACTCCAAACTTGATTAGGGTCCATTTTTATGAGGTGTACTCGATGATCATAATTTGAGGTGGTTGCCGAATTTGATAATTTGAGTTCATAAATACGATGTTGGGCTAACCAAGAAAATGAGTAATATCCTCGCGCTATCATGAGATCCAAGTCTTGTTTGGTTTTTCCAACTATTGTGTGGTGTTTTCATGTAATGTTTGGTATAGCTTATTTAAGGCTATGGTGTAAATATGAGATGGTATGGTACATCTAGAGGTGGATGATTTTGGGGTATAATAAGTCTCACTGTAAATATGTATACATATATATATTTATTTATTTATTTATACAAGGGATATTGGAGAGGGATGAATCGAACCTAGAACTTAGGATGCGGGGTAAATACTCTTAACCACTTGAGTTACTAAATATGAGGTATATTTAGTTTTACTAATCATATTTCTCGTATGGGATTTAAAAAGTAATTCATGCTCACTTTTAAAAATAAATATTGATGTCATAAAAATATACCAGTTCTAAAATCGAACTATAATAAACATTTTAGTTGCAAGGGACTTGTAGCTCAAGTGGTTAAAAACATTTACTCCTACACCTAACGGCCTAAGTTCAATACCCCTTCCCGCAATATCACTTGTGTAACCAATATTGGCATTTTGTAATGTTTTATTCATTAAATTTGGACATCTTGAAATAATTAAGTAATAGTATTTAGGGTAAACATCCAAAGCAGGTAGCATAACAACAAAAGTAACAACGATTGTTTCTATTGCATTATGTTCTTCCCCCCTTGCACGAATGCGACCTCTATGTTTTCCTATTATTTAATTAGGATTTGGAAGTTGCTAACTTTGTAAATACCTGATTGTGTGTTAAGTCAGGTAGCTATAATATAAAATCCCTTTGTTTATTCAAAATAATTATTTGTTTGTAAAGAAATAACTTAGTCTCAAATGGAGCTCCTAGCAAGTTGTAGAGAGGATATTCTCATAAAGCCAGATTTTTCATACAAATACAAACACAAACTTTAGAAAGGAAAAACAGAAAAAGAAAAAGAAAAAAAGGGTTGAAACCGAACTTGGCTTGCACCTAAATAGTTCATATTGAATTAATGTACATAAAAATGGTGGTTAGAGATTTAATGGTTTTTCGGAATGGTATTGATTTTCTCATTCCCTTTTTGTTCACTTACACTCCCTTATGATTTTCGCACTGTCTACTTACACGCACTCCCTTTTAATGGTAATTACTAAAGCGTTAAAAAATCAAAAGAAACTGTAAGTGGACAAAAGATAAGTGAAAAAATTAGTTCATTTTCTAAAAGAGGCAATAACTTTTGGAGAATTCATAATCTGTTAAAACTTGCTAGAGGAGAGAGACGGTGGAGGTTCAAACTAGATTATATGGTAATTTGGTATATAATTAAGGCAAAATATCACTTTTGGTCCTTGTGGTTTACCACTTTTATTATTAAAGTCCCTATGATTTCAATTTGATCATTTTTGGCTATGTGGTTTTCAATTTAAGCAATTCAACGACGTTCTCTAATTTCTATCAAATTAGAGTAACTTCCGTTATTTTGTTGAGGGGCATTTCAGTCAAAAAACAAGAAAGAGAAAAAAAGAAGTGGAAAAAAAGAAGGGAGAGATAGAGAACCTCACAGCTCAGCCACACCACTACCCCCCAAAATCTCCCCAGCCAGTAACCACCATCTTGATCTTGAATCTCTTCTCATTTTTTCGACTTTATCAATGGGCAGTTGGTTTCCCCAGTGGGTGGTTGCTGCCATGGTTTCTGCAAGGGTTCCAGTAAACCATTTGGTATGGACCCAACTTATCGAACAAATGGTTTGGATGGCCATCAGCTCTCGTTGAGATAAACCCTTCAGATAACATGCGGACTCGAGACTCGGAAAATCTGTAGTCCTAGCCACATTGAAGTGGTGGAGTTCTACTGGGTTGGGGAGATGCGGCCGAGTGTGTAGGTTGGCGTGTGGGCTGTGCTGAGGGCTTCTCTTTCCAAATTTTTTTTTGGTGCGTCTTCTTTGTCTTTCTTGTTTTTGGACCGAAATGCCCCTCAACAAGTAACGGAGGTTACTTTAATTTGACAGAAATTAAAGATTGTTCTTATATTGCTTAAATTGAAAACAACACATGGACGTTAATGATAAAAGTGCCTATAATTAATGCAAAATGCAAAATGCAAAATGCAAATGCGTGTGAATGGAACGCGCTTGTAACGAAAGCTGGTAAAGTTCAGGTAGGCCTCCATGGCTGCCACGTGGACTTTTTTTTCTTTTTTTTGGGGTGTTGATCTTTGTTTTTGTTTTGGAGATATAGAAATGAAAAAAAAATACAAATGTTTTTGGGTGTGACGATGACGTTTTGTGCCAAAGAGCGTCCAAGTTCTCTTCATGTAACAAGGGTGGGCCCCACCTCTTTCCTTCTCTTTCCTTTTTCTTTAATATTTTTTTCCTGCTCTTCCTACGAAACAACGGCGCAAAGCGCAAACAATATTCCCTCTCTCTCTCTCTCTCTCCAAAAAAATCCTTCCTTTTTAATTTTATTTTGGTCCAAATTTGAAAACACATAAAGAAAAGAGAGGAAGAGATTTATGGGTTTTTGTTTTTAATTTTTCTTTTCTTTGTTGCTATAAAGGGAGCTGAAGACTGGGAAAACAAGAGGGAGACAGAGAGAGAGAGAGAGAGAGAGAGAGAGGCAACCTGGTTTTTGGTTTTGTGCTTTCCACCGAATCACACACCGCCTTCTCAACTATCAAGCTCAAGTTTTTAGTGCCCACCAGCGGTTTACACGGCGCGAGGTGGCCGGTTTAGTGTTTCAGAAAACTGGGTTTAATTGTTTTTTAAAACTTTTTCACTTGCAAAAAATAAAATCTTTCTTCTTCTTGGGTTTGCAATTTTTATTGGGATTTGTCACTGGGTTTTTTCTCCGTTGGGGAGGAGGCTTGTAGCTGCTGCTAGCTGCTTGTTATTACTATAAATGGGCAGCGGGAGATTTTGGTGTCTCTGTGTGTTTGTCTTTTTATGAGATTGCGTCGTTGCTGAAGGCTGGGGAGGTGCTCTCCTGCATGTGCTATAAGGCTAAGATCTGTAGGTGGTTCAATTGGAATCTGGGTTTTGGCGACGCTTGGCGATACAGGTACGTTTTCTACTTGGCCCGCATTTATCTTTATTTTTATTTTTCGGTTTGGTTTGGTTTGGTGGGCTTATATTTATAAAAACGGTTTCTTTGCTTCTGAGTTTATTTTCTTTCCTTTTCATGGGTTTCTGTTTTGGCATAACATTCTTTGTATCTGGGTTATTGTCTTCTAATTGAGGAAAATTATGTGTTCTTAATCACTGTGCCATTCATCAATTCATAGCATAAAATTTAGACAGGATTTAGTTTTGTGTGTGTTAGATCTCACGTTTGTTTGTATAAAATTCCTTCTAGTTGTTAATGGGGGGGCTTTTGTTTGTGCTCTTTTATTGTGTTTACAGGAAATGGAAATTAGAGGTTGTGGTTTTATGATTGTAGTCCGAGGCCAATTTAGTTCAAAACGTTGATCTGTCTTTACTGATACATGGATTGAAGAAGCAGTTGTTTGGATGCAATGTTAAAAGCATTAGCATCTGGGCTATCAATTTTGTTGCTCCTCGTTTGTGTTTCCGCGTCTGATAACGGATTTCCGCGGTGCAATTGTGACGATGATAACAGCTTGTGGAGCATTGAGAGCATACTAGAATGTCAGCGAGTGAGCGATTTCTTAATTGCCGTGGCCTACTTTTCCATCCCCATTGAGCTGCTTTACTTTGTCAGCTGCTCAAATGTGCCTTTCAAATGGGTCCTCTTTGAGTTCATTGCCTTCATTGTGCTATGTGGATTGACACATTTACTCAATGGCTGGACTTATGGCCCTCACCCGTTCCAGCTTATGCTGGCTCTCACAGTTTTCAAAATTCTTACTGCTCTGGTCTCTTGTGCCACTGCTATAACACTCATCACTCTCATCCCTTTGCTTCTCAAAGTGAAAGTGAGGGAGTTTATGTTGAAGAAGAAGACTCGGGATCTTGGGAGAGAGGTTGGAATTATAATGAGACAGAAAGAAGCTGGAATGCATGTTCGGATGCTTACCCAAGAGATTCGCAAGTCGCTTGATAGGCATACAATTCTGTCAACAACACTTTTTGAGCTATCTGAGACATTGGGTTTGCAGTACTGTGCAGTTTGGATGCCTAATGAAAATAAAACAGAGATGATCCTGATCCATGAGTTGAAAGGGAGGAATTATTCTCATATGTACAACTTTTCTATTCCGATAAATGATTCAGATGTTGTACATATCAAGGTGAGTGATGGGGTGAACATCCTTAGGCCTGACTCACCACTTGTTCATGCCAGTGATGACTCAGGTGAGCCGGGACCAGTAGCTGCAATTCGGATGCCAATGCTTCGGGTTTCCAATTTCAAAGGAGGAACTCCAGAGTTGATCCAGACTTGTTATGCGATATTGGTTTTGGTCCTCCCTGGTGGACATCCTAGATCTTGGAGCAGCCAAGACCTTGAGATAATTAAGGTAGTTGCTGATCAAGTGGCCGTTGCTTTATCCCATGCTGCAGTCCTTGAAGAGTCACAACTCATGAGGGAGAAGTTGGCCGAGCAAAATCGAGCCCTGCAACAGGCAAAGATGAATGCTATGATGGCAAGCCACGCAAGAAACTCATTCCAAAAGGTAATGAGTGATGGGATGAGGAGGCCAATGCACTCAATTTTGGGATTGCTTTCAATGATGCAGGATGAGAATTTGAATAATGATCAACGAGTTATTATTGATGCAATGGTGAGGACGAGCAATGTCCTATCAACCTTGATAAATGATGTGATGGATAATTCTGCAAAGGACAGTGGAAGATTTCCATTGGAGATGAGATCTTTTCGGTTACATGCATTGATAAAGGAAGCAGCTTGCCTTGCCAAATGCTTGTGTGTGTACAAGGGCTTTGGATTTGCAATTGAAGTGGAGAAGTCCTTACCTGATCATGTCATGGGGGATGAAAGAAGGGTGTTTCAGGTGATTTTGCATATGGTGGGAAGCCTGTTAAATGGATATAAGGGGGGAGGGTTGGTCGCATTTCGGGTTGCTTCGGATAATGGAAGTCAGGGAAGGAATGATCAAAGATGGGCAGCCTGGAGACATAACTCGTCTGATGGTGATGTATATATTAGATTTGAGATTGCGATGACCAATAGTGGTTCTCAGTCAGAGGGCACTATTCCAGCGGTGCAGCTTGTTGGTAGGAGATACGTCAGTGAGGGAATAGATGAGGGCTTGAGCTTCACCATTTGCAAAAAGCTAGTGCAGGTGAGGGTGATGAACTTTGTCTTTGTGTGTTTTTGTGTGTGTGTGGACATATGTTAGATTCTTTTGACTAATGAAGGAATGCACATTAAAAGTTTTAGAGTTAGACTCTGCATCCTTTTTATGTTAGGAAACTTAAAAAGCAGAAAGATGTTTGTGAAGCTAGAATCTGCATGAGGAAAGTTTTTGCACTAGTTTCTCGCAGGATATAACAGTTTTCTTTTTCTTGATAACCAAAGATGTTAACTTTATTTTTATTGCAGTAGAATGTGTAGTGACCTCACCCTTTGATAGGTAAGGTTGGATAGAAGGGAAAAAAATTTCCTGCTGCCATATCTGGTTGTTGAAATACATCTAGTTTACCTGCTTGATTGAATACCCGATGGTTTTTTTATCTGCATGTCTCTAGCTTGGAGGAGTTGGTGTTGGCATTGATCAGTTTGCTGATGTATCTTATTAATAGCTCATTTTAAGCATATTTTTGTGAAGAACTTAGTTTCAAAGCATGGTGGTTTAGTATACAAGTGTAGTCTCCAAGTTACGAAGATAAACATGATAGTTTCTCTCAAATTGTCACTACTTTACTGGCATTAATACATGATTAAGTTATTTTGAGATAGATTGTTTCGTTCAGATTTTCAAGACCTTTATATATATATATATATATATATATATATATCTGCTAGTTTTACATTTCATGGGAGGAAGGGCTATTTCTTGGTGTTCCTTAGTTGTCAGTCGCTTGTTTGATATTTTCACTTTTAACTAAAGTATTTCTAAATAACTTTTTATTGGCAGTTGATGCAAGGAAATATATGGGCAGTCCCTAACCCTCAAGGATTTGCTCAAAGCATGGCACTCGTTCTTCGGTTTCAACTTCGACCATCCGTTGCAATAGCCATCTCTGAACCTGGAGAATCATCAGAGCACCCACATTCGAATTCTATTTTCAGGGGCTTGCAAGTTTTATTAACTGATGATGATGATGTAAACAGGGCTGTGACGCGGAGACTGCTTGAGAAGCTAGGCTGCATTGTAACTTCTGTTTCATCTGGATTAGAATGCCTTTCTACTATTGGTCCTGCCGGAACCTCTATCCAAATTGTTTTTCTGGATCTTCACATGCCCGAGTTGGATGGTTTTGAAGTTGCATTGAGAATTAGAAAATTCCGAAGCCGAACGTGGCCATTGATTATTGGCGTAACCGCTAGTGCCGATGAAGATGTTTGGGATCGATGTATGCAGAGTGGCATCAACGGAGTTATCCGAAAACCAGTGTTGTTGCAAGGGATTGCCAATGAGCTACGACGAGTCTTGCAGCAGGCAAACAACGGGATGACATAAGCTGTAATTTGCTTCAAGTAGCAAGCTCCACGAGATTCTCAGTCAGACTGGTTTACAAGATTAGCAGTTCCTTTTTCTCTCTTGTGCGGTTGAGCTTGTTATAGTTACATAGATAGTTTCAGATTTGATCACAGGTAATGGAAACTGTCTTCAAGACATCCTTCTATATTAAAAGAACACAAAAATTCCAAAGGAAAGTTTGTTGGAAAATCATATACTGTAGAGCAATAAGAAATATCTGCAGAAATTGAGTAGAGTTGAGTTACTATTTGGCAATCAAAATTAGCAGTTATTTCTTTGTAGGTGAAGCAGTTGGTTGAAGTCATGAAAAAAGACATCACAATTAATATAAACTATAGTATTTGTTGCCAGAAAATTGTTTTCTCTTTAATTCGCAACACTGGAAAATATTTTTATTATACTTGTCTGAAATTCAAGTCCTGAAAAAGAAATCATAACCAATATAAATACTCATTAATTCTTTGGACAAAAGAAAATGCGGTACTCTACTTTATGGATATTTTACATGACAATGTGTAATCACTCCGAAATATGAAAGGACATTGTCTACCATGAATTATCGTCAGCGTTAAGCCGAACAGTGTTAATTCATTGTCTGAACGTCCGGACGTTATTATCATGTAGACGTTATTGTAAACATAGAGCAACGATGTAATTCATTGTTTGAACGTCCGGACATTATTATCATGTAGACGTTATTGTAAACACGGAGCAACGAGGTAGTAGAACCTTAATATAAAACATGATTAATAATTCAAGGTGGTCAGATAAAGAAAAAAAAAAAGATTTGGTATTGTTAATCCAGCGAGGCACAGGTAATTGGACAGTTGAGTATATTAGTTAACAAGTAGTAGCTGAGAGTCAGAGAGGATGCAGTGTTTCCTTTCTTTAAGCTGTAAATACTTATTTGAGATCTGAAAAGTGAAAAGCTGGGATTATTTTTATTTACTTTCATGCGGAAATGGAATAGGATATTTTGAGGCCAGAAAGTAAATGGAAGAGTATGGGTCAAGTTGAGCTTTGCAGACTTTCTCTGTTGGATACCTATTTATTTCCAATAAAAAAGCTAGCCATGCATGAACCAAGTACGTACATGGACTCTTTATGTTTAAATTTCGATCATATCAAAGTGGACCCTTTTCTCTTATCTTCCTCTCTCCGGATATACCCCACCCAACAAGTTGGGTTTGATATTATTTTAGTGTGGAATAAATTTGGCATTTGGGTTTTGTGGAAACACATATTTTCCGCAACCACTTAGGTGATGCCATGTGGAAGATGAAATATTTTCTAGGTCATCTTGATTGTGCCAATTAAATTCTCATTTAACGGGCTTATTAATTTGACTTAATAAAGGGAAATATTTCTATAAGAGCATCTTCAACCGTTATGTTAAAATACCAAAAAACTCATGCCTCTCGCTCTCTCTCTCCCTCGCTCACGGCTCTGCACCGTCACCCTCGTTTCTCACGTTTGCGCCTCCTCTTCTCACGTAGAGGAAAGCTCCATCCATTCAGTTAAATATACATCTCATTAAGACCATTTTACTGTCTTAGACATCCCGGGTTTTCCACGTTGACAGCCATTTCTTCTCGTCAATGATTATATTCCAAATAGTTGACGTTAATGTCCCTTCACAAAAATTCTTCGGTTTTGCCATCCTTTTCTTTCTGCCTATCAACTTCAAACATACATTTCTTCGAAAGTGGAATTGAGTCTTTGTCAACATTATACATGATGGATCATAGGCGTAGCCATCTTACTCTCAACGATGTATTCAACCCATATAACCTACCATGCATGCACTTAACTTTGTCACGAGTCGGACAAGTCTCAATTAATGTATCTGAAACTGAAATCTCAACAAAGTTCGTACAAATCAACAACGGACAATTATCTTCAGTATTTTGACCTAACGCACTTTAAACCAATCCGTTACTCTCTTCGTAATAATTTTCATGGAGCACTTGAATGTAATTGAAATTACACACATCCCAACTATTTCAGTTCAAAACTCAAATTGTAAATGAATTCTTTAGATTTTCGAAGCCAAATGCATCCATACAGAGGGCCCTAGCTAGCTCCATCCAACCAGTCTGATATTTTCTGAGTGTCTGACAAGATTATTTATTAGGCAGTGGAGGTTGTCTCTTGGAGAGCAACAGGTCAGTCAAAATAGCTGATCTATTTTAAGAATAATACAAATTTATAAATAAACCCAATCCTAGACATGTATTTATAAAAAAACTCAAGCACTATTTAAACATAGAAACACACCCAAAATCAACCCCAAAGTCAACTTTTTGGGTGTGTTTATAAATGAGTTTTGAGTGTGTGTAATGATGGGTTTTCGGTATGTTTATATGTTTAAATAGTGCTTGGATTTTTTTATAATTTCAACCCCTATTTTGGGTGTTTTAGTGAAACTCCCTAAGAATAATGCGTCTCAATTCTATAACATAACGCAAGTTGAAGTTCGTACATGGCGTTGTATTCGTTCCATTGAAACAGTGTCTTCGCCAGGGGGTCTGAATGTTGAAAATTGTTTGTTCGGATAAAGTGTTGGACTTTCGTGCCGGCCTTGGATTACATCAACTGAATCTAGTTTGTTTAACAAAAAAAAAAAAAAAAAAAAAAAAAAAAAACAAAAACAACTTTCTTTCGAATTAAACAATACCAACTTGGCAACTTGGTTCTTTACAAAATATTTAGTATATTCCGAGAATTATTGTTTATAACTTGATTTGCCTTCACCAGAAGCTCAAGTCTTCATATCTGCATTGTTTAAAAAAAACACAAACAAAGAAACCATTAAAATGTCAGCATTCAACACAAAATCAATTAAGAATAAGATCAATTTGGAACGAGGTAAGTGATTCAATTCCTTATAAGATTTTACAAGACGTCTTTGCTTTTAATTCTATGCATTTTCCTAAATTATAGATAAGGAATTCGAACACGGTACTTGACTTTTATATAGTAATATATAGAAGACGTAAAATGAGCTTATTCCATCGTAATTCGTAAACTACTATTTTGATTTGATTTGAATAAAAGTATGACAAACTTTTTATTATTATCTCCCACTGATGCGTGATAGTTGGCAATAATTTAAAGAAAAAAAGAAGGCAAATTGCTATTACCAATCGGCCGCCTCCTGTTTCTGAGCTGGTTAGAATAATAATCATATGGTCATATTAGTGTCTAAGGCTTCTAAAATGGGATAACAAGGCTTCCTGCTCCTTTCTGACATGGATTTCTGCTGCCCCTGCTTGCTTTCAAGAAACTTGGATCTCTAAACCAGTTGTCACTTGGACCGACTGTTTTGTATTTTTTATGAACAAATTTTGAAAGTTGGGATTTGATAATCTGTTCAGTCTGGATTCATCTGAAGCCCCTCAGGCATGATTGGGTTCAGTTTGGAGTACATTCTGTTAGCATGGAAGGCCCGACTTGACTTGATTTGATTTTAAAAATGGCCCATTGGCCGTACCATTATATGATGAATTGCCCAATAACAAAACCATGCATCAATGAGAGGCTAGCAAATGAAGGCCCATATCACCAACTCTGAGTTTTTGGGTAGACTTTCTTCCAGCTGTTGCGCAAATATCATGTTACTGTATTTTTCATAGTTTCTTGAATTTGACAATTCTAGATCATCACATGACATCCCGTGCATTCGTCAACAAGAGAGTGAAAGATCAGGTATCAGACTCATACATTATAATTTGATTGTCACCGTCGGGGCTACCAAGCACCGCCGGACACGTTGAGGAGCTAGAACTCGTGTAAGGGCGGATGCAAGCAGCTACTGGTTGGACCGGGTGAGCTGAAACTTTTTGTCTCCTAAACTTGTTCATATTGGTCGAAGGGAGAAATGGGCCATAATTGCGACCCTATGCTTTTGGGCCAATCACGACAAGACAGCCTACAGCCTATTTCTAGCTCAAACTCAAGTACTCTTTTTATGTCCCATCAATGAGAAATAGGCTAAAAAAATTTTAAAATATAAGCGGTAATTCAAACTACGAGGAGGAGAAGAATAGTTTCTAACATACATTACAAATGTGCCATGAGATTCAAACACGAGAACACTGATATATAAATCAAAGTTATTTTCCACTGGTCTAAACTTCATTGACAACCCTTTATAGGTATACATTGAAAGCTATTGTAACCAATCATCTATATTTAGCCTTAGATATATAAAGAATAAACTAATAAAATCCGTTTGCAAAGGACAAACAGTGGTCTCCCCAATAAACAATGTAATTTTCAAGCAAGAGCTGGATAAAATATAATTACATATTACAATAATATATAATTTATCAAGCACAAGTCTCCAAATCAAAGTTCCGAGGCACATATTTTAAATCGCATCTCCTCTGCCTGCCGGCAATAACTGGACCAATTCTATGTCCTTATTTTATTTGCTTGTCGACAGATTCAAAACTTATGTCTTATCCTTGATTAGCTATTCAAATTTAATTGCTTGTAAGAAGATCTGTCATCAGTCACGATCATTTTCGCATATCATTAAGGGATATGTTATCTTATTTAGAGCCTACCCTAGTATAGTATTTTTTTATTATTATTTTACTTCTCATTTTTTAATAAAAGGAAAGACAAAGCAAAATTAATACAAACAAAACTTAAATTGCTGCAAAAATATGTTTTTAACAATTATATATGAGATATGCACTCAAAATAAAGCTTGCTATACTCTTTCATGCAATCATACATAAAAAGTAGAAGTTTATTATTTTTATTATTTTTAATTATTGAGAATAGAAATTTGAACATGAAATCTGTTTTAATATAAAAGAAGTATCACTGGACTAAAGCTTAAACAATCAGGTTCCTTTTAAAGTGTACATAAAAATATACCGAAAGTATTCCATGTGTATAATTTCGAGCTATATGGCTAAAATATCTTCTGCTTTATATGATTATCAATCAAATAAAAAGTTATTTTA